TAAAGCTACATGTGCATGCTTTTAGCAGCTTTCAGGGAATCCCGTAACCACTACTTTCAATTTGGGAAATTGAGATTTGAAGCCTACAATTTTACAAACTATAAGAAAACCATATAAGTCTTAAATTTGCATTCAGTATGCGTGATGTTTGTTCCCCCAAATTTTTTAAAGAGTGGACCGATTTTGATGATTCTGTCTTTATTCGAAAGCTAGTGCTTGCCATGTGGTTCAATTTTAATTTGGTCCAGATCTGTCAATGGCATCTATGAGAAAACAATATAAGTCTTAAATTTGCATTAAGTGTGTGTGATGTTTGTTACTCCAAAACTCAAAATATCACTAAAATGCATGAGATAAAAACTTAAAAAAAAAATGGAATCGACTTCAAATTAAAAAAAAAAGTGAAAAATAATAATTATCTTAAAACGGTAATTTTTTTAAATAAACATGAAGTCGGACGGTTAAAATTGCAGGCAAAGGCGGTTCCATTATTTTTAATAAAAAGTTTTTATTGATGAGCTGTCGTTTTTCAGTTTTTTGGGGTTAGCAACACTACAAAATAAAGCCACCCAGAAATAAATATGTAAAAAAACTCTCCAATTCAGTGGCAGACTAAGGGGGAGCGGTGGGGCGATTTACCTCGGGCCTCTTGTCCTGGGGGACCTCCAAATGGATCTGCCTTGGGCCTCGCGTTCTGGGGGGAAACTCTTAATGGCGCCCGGTGCCCCCGACGTGGTTAGTCTGCCACTGCTCCAACTGTTCATGTAATGTTATTACTGCTCGCTAGTTTTTTTTCTTGACTTAAACTCTATCTAAACAGTGGTATATTTATTTATACTGAGTATAAGCCATGCTTGTTATTCTAATAATAGGTTAGTTAGTTTACTGGGGTTCAGAATAAAATTTGTACTTATATGGGGATATTAGGGCTAGATATTTATGAGATTAGTCTGCGCTGTGATTAATTGGCGCTTCCCCGATTTGCCCCACTTTAGAATAAAACAAAACGAAAAAATTATATCGTAAAAATACAGTGTTAAAAATAAATTATTAGCAGACATGTCATAATATAACATACAATCGGTGGGCCGTTTCCATTCAACTATCTTATAATACCACGCGCAATGCACGCGACTGTGCCGTGCAGTTTATCATAATGAATGAAACTAATGGTAGATACCTATTTATTGAATGTATTTAGAGCATTTTGTTTGGATCTACACGTTAATGATTTATGGAAAAATTTGTAACCGGTGATTATATTTTAATACTGTTTTAATAAATCATAGCCACGTTTTTTCCCTCTTTTAACCTCTTTTTATGTTGGAGATGTAGAATACAAAAGGTGTCTGATAACCAAGTTTATACTTATTTATGGCCAGCCTACTGCAGGTACTCGAAGTGTTAATGACTGTTTTTTGTCCATATAAGGGGGCGTCCATAAATTACGTGAGATGTTTAAGGGGGGGAGGGAGTCGAGTCAAATCTCATCTAATCTCACGTTGGAGAGAGGGGGGGTCTCGGCAAATATCACGCAATTTTTAAAATAAGGCTCGGTGCGGGGAATCCCTCATAGAGTGACAAGTCTAAGGTTGAGATCATTCACTAATTCGTTGGAAAGAAAATAATTTCATTCGTACTTTGACATTATACATCACTCCTGATTGTCAAACCACTATACTCGTTTTATACCAAATAGCTCAATTTAATTTGAATTTACGGTACAATGTAGCTCGTCCTTTGTTTTCGCGCCACTGTCAGCTGAACATGTGACTCGATGAATGAGAGCAATATTGATTACTAGTCTCTAACTAGTCGTTAATAAAAGTACGAAGCGAATTATTTTTTTTTCTTTTTATTAAAAAAATCCAACGTGTTTAAATAAGAAACCCACATTTTGAAAAATCTCACCTGAGATTTGGGGATGGGGGAGGGGATTGAATAAAATCTCACGACATCTCACCAGGGGGGGAGGGAGGGTCAGAAAATTTGAAAAAACACCTCACGTAATTTATGGACGCCCCCTAATAGGGATGACTACTAATTTTTATTTATTTGTCCGTCAGGTAGGTTATTGAATAATATTCAATACGTATTTTTTATTTTTTTGCGTATAAAATACGACGATACATACAAAACTGTGACGTAGCGAGCCCCCACTCCTAAACTTTAATGCCTATTATCTAAGCTATTCTTGTTTAAATTGAAGTAAAAATAAAACGTATCTAATATTTTTCTATTATTTGACTGACGGATTAAATAGAATTTCTTTTCTTTACTCAGTTGTCATCTATATTACCTTTTTTAAACCCAGTGCACTACACGCACTATCTCTGCTGCCTGAAAATATGGCAGGGGGTATGCGGGACTCACCTCCGTTGGCGGACCTGCCCAGCGATTCTGTAAAAATCCGAACCCGAATTCGAATTCACTTCAAAAAACTGCATCGGCTCAATCTTGAATTAGTAATAACCTTTAGTGGCATAAGTGAAGTGAGTTTCGAAATTATATAGGAATAGAATATCTAAGTCACGTATATTTCAATCAATGTGTTTTGTATTTTTATACAAAAAAATGGAATGAATAGAATTTCTTTACTAAATAACGTGAATTTGGACACATGAGTGAATTCCAATTTGGGTCTGTATTTTTACAGAATCGCAGTACTGTTCGGTAGAGGACGACTGAGTAGGATAACGGGCGGGTGCCGCCTAACCCACCAAAAACCTTGGCATAGCCTCGTTTGAGATTGGACCCGAGAACTCGGGCGTATTCATCAGGCGAGTCATTGCATGTTCATTTAATTTTCTACAGTCCCTTTATTATATATATTTTCTCCCGAAAAAAAGCAAAGGGATGAAAATGGTAGTGGAATTTTGTATAGAGAATGAAAATGTTACCATAGTAACCATTGTTTACTATTCAATTTGTCATTGTAATTATATCCGTGTCATGATATGTATCGGTATTCAAATAAACAGTTCCTTATGGACCATGCGGACGAAGCCGCTGGCGGAAAGCTAGTATTCAATATTTTAAGTGTATTCCTCTTTAAAAAATAGCGAATTTCACTAGAAAGCATGAAATAAAAATCTAAAAAAAATTCAAATGAATTTAAAATTGATAAATAATACTTATTTCAAAAGCGACTCATTCAAGAAAATGCTATTGAAGTCGGGTGCCTATCATTTAAATAATAAGCCTACAGATGATCTACGCGCGACTTCAATAGCATTTTCTTGAATAAGTCGCTTTTGAGATAAGTATTATTTATCACTTTTTTAAATTTTAAGGTGGTTTTATTTTTTCTTTTAAGTTTTTGTTCTCATCGGAGGAGTAAACTATTTCAAAGGTTGAAGAAGTACTACTCATGGCCAGCCAGAGGTGGCACAAGCACCACGTGGTCATTTCTTTGTACTTTGTAAAAATACCTGTATATTGTTTTACTTATCTCTGAATTGCTTTTCTACTTTATGCTTAAGATTCGAGGGGGCTAAACTTACAGTTAGGTACACGTTACTATTGCTTTGCTCTGTTGCTAGTCGGAGGAGTAGGCTTGACCATTATCGAATGATAAGAAAGTGAAAGATCCGCAGGTAAAGACTGTTCATGCCAGACCCCTATAATCTTTTCTTTAAGGTCATTTTTAATTGTCTTCATAATAGATGGTTCTATGATTGTTTGATATATATCTCTTTATTTGGATTTACACTTATTTTTTCATTCAAATTCACGTGGGATCATTTTGGGCATTATAATAAGCTTTTATGGGCCCTAAGTAATCCACGTTGTTGTTTTGAACTAATTAAATGAACGCTGACCAATAAAAGTCAATTAGTTTTCGTGAAAAAAATTATTCATCTTAAAGTTGTTCATATTTTCAAGTAAAATATTGAAAATTCTTTAAAGTCGGGCGGTTAATATTAACAACACACCGAAATCTCCGCCTGACTTCAAAGAATTCAATTCATGAACACGATAAACCGCTTTTACCTAGAGCAGGTATTATTTTTCACGGAAGGCTATTTCATATTTCGTAATATTAAATTTGTAAATATGATGTACTACATACAGGATTTAGTACTGCTAGAATTTTTTGCAAGTGCCTAGTTAGCTATTTTTTTCCCTCAAAATATGTGATACAGTGCAGATGACGGGTTATATCATACCTTAACTCACTCATAACAATGATAGCATAGTATCCTACTATATAGCATATTGCTACTGATATATACCTACCAGTTATAATAACATCACTGTTATAATAACTCCACTGGTAACATTAATGTCACAGAATATTCCCCTGTCTAAATCTTTCTGAATGCGTTCAGCATAAAAATATGCCTTTTATAAATAGAAGCAGTCGGTATACTAGGTAACGATATTCTTCTTAAAGGTAAAAGATCTTGTGATTGTTTATATCTATATTTGGTACCGATTTTTAAAACCTACTCTTTGTTCTTATTTTGCTCGCAGATGTTTAATTCAGAATTTATGTACTACTGAAATACAAAATAATGCATATTCATTCAAATGAATCACAAATTCATTTATATTAAGTAATGGTATTTGGTAAATTTTAAGTATTTAACGATTGATACAAAAAAGTAAAATAAATCAAATATCGATGAGAATTGATTTTATAATAATTGGTAAGATATTAATAGATACTAACGAGATTACACCGCTCAAAATGTTATTAGTTTTATCTCTTTTAGTTTAGTTTTATCGTTTTCATATCATTAATGTTTGTTTCAAATAGTTTGTCATAAAGATAATGACGTCACGTTAGTCAGTTTTGTAGTGCCGGCCGTATTCCGAATGAAGCTTTTTGTTGTATCAATATCGTTCGAGTTTCATAGTACCCAGTCATAATCAGCTGGGAGTTTACGTTGCAAGTGTTGGCTGCATTAGTGACATTCCCGCGCCGACTGCGGAGTGGTGAGGGCGTATGATAATTTTTGTTCAATTTGTGGTAAAAGTGTAGAAAAATATAAAACATGGAATTTAAATTCGGCTGGATGTTTATAGTGTGTTTGTGCTTCGGTTTGTCAGTGGCCGCACAGGTAATTGTTTTGATTTTTTAACTAACATAATTAAATAAGTATCTACCCTCAAATTATAACACTTTTAATTTATTCTAATATTGTGTGAAAAGACCATTTTTTGAGTATATTTATTTACATGATATTTTTTCTTATTCGTGCAATAAAAATGTTTATATTATTTGGTGCAAATATTGTGCCTATAAATAAATTTCCATAATTAATACGAGTACCCACTTAGTATATACTCTATAAAATAGTTTGTGTAACTAATAACGATGTAATAATCCATCATACTATAAACTTAAATTTTTTTTTAAATTGTATTTATTTATGTCTTCACTATTTGTTGGGAATTCGAAGAAATATTTTGGATAAGAAAATAAAATCAAAAAGTAACGAATAAATGGAAATGAGTTTTTTCAAATTTGATATATACTACCAAATGTACATACTTGATACACATTGTTATACCTATTCTATTATTAATCGTAAGAGGACGGTGCGTGGCCTATTCTTTAGGGAAAGAAAAATTCCAAGTTACCCGAACCATAGTAGATAAATACCTTCTATGCCTAAACGTTTTAAATACACAATAGTTTTAACATTTTAGTACTTATTATATTGAGAAAAGACCATTTCTTTCTTTCTCAAAATTGATATTAGTAAAGATATAATTCTTTTGTGTGGTCCATATTTTTTCCTAACACCCATTGTTTGTTCTGTTAACATTTGTAAACTTTGTTCTGTCTTTGAACAATACAGATAAAATCACAAATGCGTTCGAATTTCAAAAGATTACGCACGCACGTGGGTTCAGCGACCGATCACGCGGGACGCTCGTGTAGTGTTGTTGTTCTGTCCCTTTTTAGAGAGAGATGACTCGTCCTTAATCTGTATCCCTATATTCCCTTTCATTGAGAATAAAAATAATACCCATTGCTATACCTATACATATGCTCTGAGTTAGAACGATAATGTCACGTATGCTTTATTTCTCTTTAGAAATAGAATATAATATATATAATATACAGAGAGCGATAGTAGCTTTAAAATAGGATAAGTTGGTTTCATCTAAACGAAAAAAATGTATTACCTGAATAGTCAATGGTCTATGTGTACAGTAGAAAAAATAAATCAGTTCTTGATCCAATTTTTTTACAAATATAATTTATCAATATTTTAGCAGAAGATCTACAGGGCTGCTGTCGTGCGTGAGCTGGAATACGGTAGAGATTTCACGAAACACTTATCAATTATCCAAGAGGCTTCAGATGCGGTAAGATATGTTAAATATACATTAAATCCAATTACTTAACTAAGGAAGTAGTAGAAATTTATCCTTCGGCTATCGTAAGAAAATCGGGCTAATTAGTATAAGAGTAAAATATTGAAAGTAGAATCATGTTTTAATAATAATAAATATTTTTAATTAAAAATGCTTAAAAATCCACTTTGTCCCTGGCCGTCAGAGTTGGGACTCTGACCCATGATCTCCCCATCTGGACGACTGCTCTGACTGACCACTGAGCTACCCAGAACCTATCAGGATTGACGAATTTTTCAAGCTCACTACTACGGCATTTTTTATTCAAAACATTTTTCAGTATAACATTGTGAATGCAATATTTACCAAATAATAAAGTTAAAATAATCAAATACCATGAAGGTACCACAATTACTTTAAGGCGGAAGTTGAACGAAGCATTTCACGACGACGACGCCCCCATTCCCATGTTTCAACGTCACTTAAGTGGACGTCTACACCCAAAATAATTAACCTTCAATTGGTTTTGTACAAAGAAATAACGTCCAAATAAATTGTAATTAAAAATAATAATATTTTTGTGACAGAATAACAGTTACAGCCAAAAATGTATTATTTATAGAAAACATTACAAAGTTACCCCTAATATTAACTACTCGAATTTTTTCCATGAGTTACTTGTTGTAAATGTACCCTTTATTATAGAAATTGATCAATGTATGCCACTTTGTAGCCGAGGGAATTATGCACCACTTTATACAATAATAATTGATTTTTGTTATGGAATTTTCATTGTCAAACTAGAGGCAGAAACAGAAGTATTTTCTCTTAACTAACAGATTTGTGTAGGGTATATAATGATCGTTTGGCAATTAATAAGTACAACTTGACAACAACTACTTTCAGAAGGAAAAGAAATTATAACAAAATATTGAGTAATAATCTTGAAGTATTGCTTATTATTACCATTCGCAATGAGCAAAATATTAAAATTAATTTAGTAATTACCAAAATAAAATAAATATGCGTAGTATAATTACGTAATATTGTTTTCAGAGGGTAGATGTTTTGGTGCTTCCATTACCGAAAGAGTCACCAATGTGTACTCTTGATAGCTGCAGTACTATGAACTATTACGACGAGGTATTTTTTTTTACATGATTTTTTGGTAATATAGAGTTTTAATCAAAATATTCATGTATTAAAAATAACTTTATTTTTACGATAGATGGTGAGAGCTGTGTCCGAAGCATCTAAAACGGGCGGGTTGTACATAGTGGCTCACTTTTTGGAGAAAACTAAATGCCATAATAGGGACGAGCTAATAAGAAGCAACCTAGTCTTCGACAGATTAGGGAATGTGGTATCTGTGTGAGTATCATATAATATATGTATAATAAATTTATCAAACCAGAAATTTTACTGTAATTTGTACGCTATTAGTATTACAGAAAAGAAACAGTAGCTTTTGAGGATATAAAAAATAAACTTTGTTAATGTTGAAGTCACTTACTCTCAAACTGTTTTTTTAACCCCCGGGTATTTGCTAACATTTATATGGTCGTACCTTTTGCAGTTCGACAAGAATAGTAAAATTCCTTAATAATTTTATTTTTTATACAAGAGAAACGGCCAAGAGCGTCTGCATTTTTAATGAAAGGTTGTTTGTTGATGAGTATGTACAATGTCCCCATTTTTTTAAATATTTATGTATAAACACAGGCCTAAACTTCATTTAATATTTTTCATGTTCATTATATATAAGTCATTTTATATTTTGGTTACATAGATACCGCAAACCGTTCAACAATATCGCCAACTGCACAACAACCGCATCAGATATTGGCACTTTTACTACTGACTTCGGAGTAACATTTGGTGTTCTGATGGAAGAAGATCTGGTCCTTTTAAAGCCTGAAGATCTTAAAGGGCTAAACAATTTTGTGCTTACCGGTTATTGGACTACAGAGATTCCGTTTTTAAGTGGTACGTTTTTAAGAAATGTTACTACTGTATGTTTTTTTGTGTTTTATAATGAAGTGGGTATGATTAATATTTTCTATTAGAAAATTTGTTACACATAAGCTCTGCTCGCTTTTTATTGTATAATAGCTGATTTATTTAAACTCCATAAAAAGAAGTGATCTGATTGATAATATTTTCAATGTCACCATTTTGATTTTTTTATGATTACATGCATTAATAGCTTACTATTAATATCTATTTGTTATGTATTAGTGTAATAGTTAGTACAACAATAGTGATGCAATATTATAATCTGTTAAAGATTCTCTAGCAGCGTTATTATTATCAAAGCTTGAATAATAACAGTGTTATCATATAATGATTGCTTCTTATTTATAGGCTAAACACGAGTTCTTATTTATTTATTCCTTAAGACCCTTTCATATCAATATTGTTGTCAAAATTTCATAAAAATATTATCATGTGTCAGTTGATCTCTCATTTTTTCATAGTTTGTATCAAACACCCTTACAGGTTGACAAGTAGAGAATGCTGCATGGCATTTAGTCCGCCATTTAATATATTATAATAAAGATTGAATAAATTGTTCATTATTAAGTATTTGTAATACTTGCATATTTATTATTACAGCTTTCCAATTCGCCTCATCATGGGCTTTTGTGAAACGGGCTGTTCTTATTTCTACATCAGGCATCATCACCGGGAGAGATGGTGTCAATACTGGTGGGACTAGTTTGGAAGTTGCTGAAATAAATATAGATCAAATTCCATATCAAGGTAAGAGGGACAACGGAACTGATTTAATTGTATTATGTCTTTTGTTGATCTGAGGGTCTTTCTTCTTTTATTTTTCTACATAATTGGCCAAAGAGTAAAAGCATTTAAACTTATATGGTATAATTAATCTAATGATAATAGTATGAAGTGCAATTATTGCTGCTGGCTTAAGTCGTTCGTAAGCAGGAAGACTGATTGGATGACATTGGATTCCTTAATCAGCAGTTAATAAAAAAAACCATATTTTTGAGAATATTATATTTAGCATTATTTTATAGTGTTATTGTTATTAATATTATATTTAGCATTATTTTATAGTGTTATTGTTATTAATGTCCGCTTATCTTGATGTTTTATAATAAACATGTCTCTGATGACCCTGTCTGATATGATTATTACATGTTGTTAAACTTTTACTGTGTATTTTTATCAAAGCGAACATTTTACACTGAAAATTAAAAATAAAACAGACCACTCCATATCATCATAGACATTATATACTCATATCTTGTTAATATTAAATATTTACCAAAACGCATTTTTGGCTGAATTAACCACTATTACGACATTGAAGTAATAATAATCTTAAGTCGATTACGATTCAGATAGGGGAAATGGCGTGATTGATATAAACTGCCAAATAGTTAATAGTGTAACACAAAATTGTGCATTAGCCCCTTGGGGGTTACTATTTTTTTATGTTTTTTGGACATAAATATCAAAGCAGAATATGGACAATTTAAAATTTAGCCATCAGTGAGGAGTCGATAGGCTGTCGATCATTAGTGTAATTTGTAACGTGTGTAGATTTGGCGATGTTTCCTCCGGCAACAATCGCGGGTAGCAGCGTCCCGTCGGATGAGTGGTCGGTGTACGCGGTGAGCCTGCTGCTGCCGGCCGCCGCCGCGCGCGGATTCCACCACACGCTATGCCACAAGACCTTCTGTTGCCACTTCTACGTCAAGACTAACGGCACAGGTAACTAATTACTAATTTTCTATTTTGGATTTAGATGGTTGCAATTCACATGTAGAAAGCTCACATGTTTATAATCTTTTTCCAAAATTCCAAATAAATAAAGTAATCTTTATATAACTTTTTATTATCAAAGTGATTATGTGTATAAATCTTAAATATGGTAATTGGTAGCTTTCGTTTTCTCTATTGCAGACGAGGAAATGAGCTATGGACTAGCAGTGTTTGAAGGTAGTCGTAGCTTTTCTTCACGTGACATCGGCGCTAATATGTGCGGAATATTCGCCTGCGCCGGCCTTTATAAGCGCTCATGCTCTGAACGGTAAATATAAACATTTTTACACTACAGCATTTTAAATTTAGTAGTGACTACATGTAAATGAGTATATATTTTTTACAATACACAATTTGATCAAATAACATACGAGTATTCTCAAAAGTTTTAAAACCACATGTATTTTAATCAAATAATATTGTTTCAGAATTAACAACACAAACATAATATTCGAGAAGATATCCATTTCTGGAAATTTCACCGTAGATAACACAGAGTACCCAATAATTGTGACTTCTGCTAACTCCAATATTGCAGCTAACCAATTCCGCTTTGAATCTACACACTTAAATGACTTCAGACAAGTAACGTTGCAGATTGAAAACGTTAAAAAATTATTAAATTTCGGAATCTTCGGAAGAGACTACACGAAAGACATTGTAAAATCACAGGTATATACAGATATAACATCGAATACACCAGGATATATAATAAGTGGTGATTTGGATGAATTCTTTGACTACGTCTGGATACGGCTGCGAATACTGATATTCCTAGTTTCCATTTATGTTTTGGAAATGTTGTGAGGTTTCAATTTCAATGGTATTTTGAACTTTAGATAGACTGGGTATTTTTTAAGAATTGTAGGTATAACAAAACAGTTTTGTTATTTCAAGTGTGAATTTTTGATTTCTTGCAATTTTGGGATAATATACTGGTATACTCATACGAATTGTGAGAGATTGGGCATTCGATATTTGGAATCTAAAAGCATAAACATCTTAAGAAATCCGTTTTTTTGTGTATTCACTTGCACAAAGATTGTTTTATTAGGTAAATATTTTTTCTTTATATAAATGCAGGTTACATTTGTCAAATTGAGACAATGAATTTACTATTAATATTACAAAAATAGTAAATGTTTTAGGTATGTTATTACTTAAAATATCATAGTTTCTGATTTTTATTGTATTATTTTGCTTTGAGATTGCATGACTGATTACGTAATAAGGTTTTAGCGGTAAGATTTAAGTAAATATTATATTTTTGCGATGAGTAATGAATCCAAAAGATGGGTAATATTTTGCTTTTATCTATGGAATTAATATATAGGGTATGTTAATGGTACAAATTCATTTTAATTTTGTGTAATAATTTATAAATAGTATTCGCTTACTGGAGAAGAAACTAGTCTTGATTTTGGTAGTTTATTTAAATTAGTAAATAAAACAAGACAGTTAAGTCCGTTTATACGTGCCATAATTGAAGAAGAACAGATTCCTTACATTATAGCTTGAGTATTTTATGAGTACAATTGGAATATTGTATTTTGATGAATTCATCAGTAAATTTTCTTATGTTTTCCATCACTAGTAAGTATCTACCTGTGATATTAGATTTATGCATGGTGTTATTTTTTTAATAAATATTTTTTTAGTGAATCCCTATTTTATTCAATCACTTACAAACACGTCTTTGAATGTTTAATAACATGAAGTGTTTTTTCAAAGAAAGCTTTGATGTTGTACCTACAAAAAGTACAAAGAAACAAGACAGATGTTTGATCAAAGGCACATAATTCCAGAAATCTTCAAAATCTTATTATTATATTTGAATACACTTGGATTCTATAATTTATCTTGTGCTAAAAACTAAATACAAATTTAGTTTAAGTTCCGATATAGATTATTATTATCGATAAAGCCGTTTCACTGTGTCACGATTGGTTTGTTTTTTTCTTTCAAACAATATTAGCAGTCATGGTTGTTAGTATAATAAATAAAGAAAAATGTGGACAAAGAACGATTAAAAATATATTATTTCGTCATACTTTATACACAGAAAATATGCCAGTTGTATACACTAATGTCGATTTGTACGTCTACGGTGCAAAAATTTCAAATGATCTTCGTCGTCTTCGTAAAGAGTCTTTTCTATCCATCTCATGAAGGCTTCTACCTAAAAAAGATATATAATAGGTATCTATATATTAATGTGATAACATCATTGTTTTCATCCATCCATTTATTTATTAGACTACACAAAAATAACAAAATATCACAAAAATATGAGAAAATACCAGGGGGTTCAAACGTCAGTAAGTTTGAGAGACGGTGGCTTGCCATAGCGAGTTGCCCGTTTCGCTATTTTCAAATGCTCATATACATATGGTGCATAAATATTTTTTTCTATTTTATTATTCTTCGCCGACCTCATTGGCTTTTTTTTAATGATATAGGTGTTCATTTACCATTAGGTTGCGTATTAAAATTATTTCTTCTTACCTTTGTATATACGTCAGGTTTTCCTTTAGCACACGGAACACCCCATGACACTACCCCAACTTGACGTCCCTCTCTCACTAGAGGTCCACCAGAGTCACCCTGAAATAACGTGTAGAAAAGTAAATAAAAAAATTACTCTACAGTGTTTCATTTGTTTATGAGACCTTATTATATCTTATTTTATATTAAGTAATTGAGGAGCAAACATTAATTTTAAATAAATTGTAGATAAAAGAAAAGGAGAATGGGCAATTTACTATGAGAGATCGGCTATTTTCGCGTAACCATGCACATTGTTGAAACCAACGATAAACGATAGAGAATTATTTCTAGAATGAGTAGGAAAAAAACCATTTTAAAATTATGCCGGAGTTTGAGAATATCTGAATATTTAACAGAGATTTTGAGGTTATGTCGTTATAATATCTACGTATAAAAGAGCAATGAAATGAATAATGTATTTCAAACAATCGATGACTAACAGATATTAATATTTAATTGCGAAAAGGGACATATCTCTACCTGTATTATAAAAAGGAAATATTGAATTTTTTATTGTAAAGTATAAACTCAAAAACAACTGGGCCGATTACAAATTCATCTTTGGCTAATATAATACCTGACCAACATTATCAGAGTTAAAATACTTCATTTTGTAAAAGTAGTGGTAGGAAGTTCACATGTCAAGTCGATTAATAACTTAAAACTCAGTAGGTAGTCGTAGTTATAATGTAGTAGGTAGGTATATACTCGCCGATAAAGAAAATATTATAACGAATGTCACTAGCAATCTTAATTAAAGATATTTAGGTATTTATTTAATGGAATCTTGATATATTTATCTATAACACCGCTTAAACACGCATGTTTCTTTCTCCGTGAAAATTTATCCTTATCCTTATGCCTATACGAATAAACGAAGCCTCAAAGTCAAAGTCAAAATAATCTTTATTCAAATAGACTTCTTAAAAGTACTGTTGAATCGTCCAACATTTTTTTCCCTACCACTCGTTCAGGACGTCTTTTGGCCGATAAGAAGAACGAGTGAGAAACTCACCAGCTCTAATAAGAGTAATGACATTTACAAAAACAATGTCATTACCAGATCAATACATTATAAACAGAGGGAGAAGAAAAAAAACTATGGTCTTATAATGATAACATAATCATTTAATAATAATAGAAACAAGATAATGAGTTTGGAAGTAATCACCTATCCAGTTGCTGGATCATCTCAAGTCCAAGCGTTCTTATCTGTTATATAATCGGATACCTTATAATAAGCTTTTTTAATAAGTATTTTTTTAATAGTAGATTTAAACTGCATGATATCTAATTGTTGTATTTTGCTTGGGACCTTATTGTAGAAGCGCACACAAAGTCCCCTGAATGAGTTATTAACTTTTTGAAGTCTAGTGACAGGCACCGTTAATTTATTTTTATTTCTTTAGTGTACATCACTTTTTATAGAAAACAAACTAATATTTTTACGAAGGTACATTAAGCTCTCGTATATGTATTGAGAAGCAACAGTCATTATGTCTATTTCCTTATATTTCTCCCTTAAAGATTCCCTAATCCTAAGATTATAAATTGATCTCATTGCTCTTTTCTGAAGCACAAAAATTGTTTGTATGTCGGCAGCATTTCCCCACAATAGGATTCTGTACGACATTACACTATGAAAGTAACTGAAGTAAGTATACTAATCTGGCAGTATCTATGTCAGTTAACGTACGTATTTTCATTACGGCATATGCTGCAGAGCTAAGTGTACTCGACAATCTATCAATATGTGGGCCCCACTGTAGATTAGAATCTAATGTTATTCCTAAAAATACTTTGATATCCACAAGGCCCATGTTCTTATCTTTTATATTAACATTTATATCTACTTTTGTAACATTAGGTAGTACAAATTTTAAGCATTTTGTTTTCCTACATTAAGGAGAAGATTATTTACATTAAACCAAATTAAACCATTAACTTTAGCGATAGAATTGTTCACATCGGCATTTAGGGGTAACCCTCTTTTGATTTTAAACAAAGTGAAGTGTCATCCGCAAACAAAACTATTTCGTGACCATCCCTTGCAAATTAAGGCAAGTCATTTATATAAATTAAAATATCTTACATGGCATGCTCCTTCACCAGCCTTAGTGAGTGCACAGATTTGTGACTCAAAGACTGCGTTGATGTTCTTATGGGCCTCCTTGCATTCGTCGTACGTGATGGCTTTTAATTCCAGCTGCATCAAGTCATTTGGTAAACGTCCTGGGTACTGGAAGAATTTAAAAACTCCTGTGGTAAAAATATTTACAAAGTTTTTAACTGCATCATTTGCTAAGACTAGAGTGGTAGGCAGTCCTAGGTGTAGATTAAATAGATGGCGCTGACGCTATAATATTATACAATATATGCAACATTATGTATTAACAAGATGCTTGATCTTGGCTATGTCACTACCTAGCACCATAGTATTATTCTTAATACCATCTTCTATCACAAAATTATTGACGAAGCTTTGTTATAATCCGGCAATTAGAAACAATAAGACAAAATAGTGGTCTTATGTACTTGCCAAATCTATACAAAAATCCTCACTATTGAGGCACGATTTATTTTATTAAATATTTGCCAACCAAAAAATATCGATGGTGCAGTTTAAAATAATATTTATACTTCAAAATAAATGGTACTTTGACTTGGTGTCTTGGCGGAAAATGGATATGTATTATTGAATTTTATTCTGAACACTTGCCATGGAATATACCTCTGTGATTATATAATGTACTAATTTTTACTAAATTTACTTTTTATTAGTAATTTTAAGAATTAATTGAAAATATTTTGGACTCACTGACGTGGTGCCCCAGCCAGTTAGAAGCAGATGTTCTCCCTTCATTACCGGTTCATCGTTAAGCTCTATAGCGTCCACAGTACTACTGAATTCTATCACGTCCTCGGTGAATAAGATGGCGATGTCGTTCTTGATGATGTCATCGTCGTAATCCTGGTGGCGCACGATCTTACGAATGGCGTAGGATTTGCCTCCTGACCTCAGCTGGTTGGTTCCAACTACGGCTTTGAAATATTCTGGACGAGCTCTGATTTAATTAAAAAGCAATATTAATACTTTGGACGTGAAACGATGTAGTGGGAAATTGGAAAATTATGCGAGTCCACTTTGTTCCTGGCACTCTGAGATGGGCCCGAACCCATGACCCTTCGCAAACAGAGAGAGTGCCTGATATTCACTTCAAAAAATAAAATATTTGTGTTTTTTTTTGCAGTATACCAATGTGAATGCAAATTTGATTAAATATCACATTGTAAGACGTTTACTTGGCTGTATCAGAGTACAAAAAGGTTTTACTATGGCTGTATTATCGATCAGTACCAATATACATAGAAGCTCTGCTCTACAATGATCTGAAATCATGAATAAATCATATTAAATTATACCGTCTTAAATTAAGCGCGGTATGTATGGGTATTTATCTCCATATGAATATTTATCTCCATTTTCAAAACAAATAATTTTTTAACAAAAAACATACAATAATGGCGGGAAAGAAGTCTATTTTTTTATCGTAGAAGCTAATGTTCAAAATTCAAATTAATGTTGTTTTTAATGTATGTAAACGGCCAGTAACAGAATTTATGGCTAGACTTGTTAGTTACCCGTCGACGCAATGCGCTGCGGTCAATATAACCCGCGGTGTGACCAGCGACGCTCCGCAGAAATGCCACACGCCCCAGTACCTCAGCGACACCTGGTATGGTACAGTACCATTTTTAGCTTTGGTACCACCTACTATACGTTCCCACTCATCACGCCCTTCCACTGATGAGTATATTTCTGATGTCGCTAAGGAAAATAAAAAGGTTGCAAATAGAAAAAAAAGAAGGCGATGATCTTTGTTACTTTTCTTACAAATTATAAGTAAAATCTATACAAATGTTTTAAAGAAGAAAGATTTGATTGATTGTTTTCATTGATTAGGCACTTAAACTTCTGGAGCTATTTGAAAAAAACTTTAACTTACGAGAAGCTGCAACATACCATAGATACACATAACTATATGCACTTCGCCGGTAACATAGGCTTCAATTTACGCGGGCGAAATCGCGGGAAAACATATGCTAAATACAAATACTCTTCGTTTGGGAAAGGAAAAACTTCGAAGAAATAACATTTGTCTTTTACCATTCAAACAGTTCCGAGCTATTAAAATCAGGAAAAGGTGCCTGTAGCATGAATTTCACATAAATAAGGCTTTCACAAATTTTACATTATGAGAAACAAATATATCCGAATGTTCCAAAAAAGTTCCAACGTAGTTTACCAAGTTAGCTAAATTAGATAGATTTCATTTGATTCACCAATAAAAAACAATAATAGGTGTCAAATTTGCGATTTAACAATTTATGTTAACTATGTATTATTGATTTAATTTTATAATAAAGAATTGAAAACTTTAATTAAAAAAAGCTGCATGAAAAAAAAGACTGTCAGAAGTGGGATTCGAACCCACGCCCACAGAAGTGGACTGCGACCTGAACGCAGCGCCTTAGACCGCTCGGCCATCCTGACTTATGAATGAGTGTTGAAATTAGTGATCACATCTCATAAAGCAGTAGATACACTATTTATAAATAAGCTGTGACGTCACCAGTATAAGGAAGAATAATGACTAGGAAAGAGAAGAAAGGCCAAATTCTTTCTTGATAAATGTATGTATAAATGTACAGTAAAGCTACCTGATTGCGATACATGTTAGGTTTTATGATCGATAAAATAAAGTTAAATTCTAATTTGAAATTCCGTGCATCTATTCTTATTATTCATGGTTTACTTATATTATAAAGAGGTAAAGTTTTAGAACTTTGTTTATTTGTAATCTTTGTTCATCTTCCATGGGAAGCTATATTATACGCAGGTGACATAATGTTATTAACTTATAGAAAAATTATAGTTTTAGGGGTGACAAATCGATCTAGCTAGGATTCATTTACAACAAAAAAAAACCGAGCAAAGCTTTGTTATACAGGTAACAATTATAGTAAAAAATGCCTCACCATTACGAATGAATAATCCCAAAAAAACTAAAATATGAACACGAGAAGACAACATCGCGTTAGGTTTATATAAAGAAACTGCAGAAACCATAATGTTTTATCCTAATTTTATACCATTTTTGTTATCTTAACGCATAGAGGGATCCTATGCTTATTCGGAAGTCATTTCATCAATTACTCATATTAAAAATCTAAATTTTTCAAATTTACTTTAGAGATGTTTGTGTATCTTCAAATAGCTTATCAATGTGTTATAATATAACCTTTTTTGTATTTTGATACGTACCATAATATCCGTCAGTGTTTCAGAAAAGTCAAAACAGAAAAGTTTAAATATATCTAAATTAAAATGAAAGTTTAAATCTTATTTCTTATTTATAGTAATAGTAATATGTACCATAGTGTCGTCAAACATTAAAAAAAGTAAATTTTCGTGTTTCATTCGAGCAATCGACCAAATGACTTTTGAATTAATGTTATTAGACCTAGTAGGTGTGACGTCACGATTGCGTGTGATGTTAGAATTTGATCTAAATAACTATGGTGATACCCGTATTCTGTATCGTCGATAAATATTGTGTAAATAAATTGTGAATTAACATAACAACTATCATTCTAATAATATTAAAGTGTGAAAGTTTGAGCGTTTGTCAGTTTGTTGCCTACTACCGTCTCTACAAATAGAATTTTAATTCCCTTTGTTTTGTCGTAGTTTTGTGAAATGATGGGTGTGTGACCGGAATTATTTCAGCTAAGTTGCTGAGGAAGGTTTCTGAGTGAACTGAAGTCAGTTCATTCGGAAACCTTCCTAGCGTCTTCACGTCTGTAATGGCCTGAATGAAATAGATCTGTCAAAATGAAATACCTCTACAGTCCACTGCTTTACCAACTGAGCTATCGAAGGTGCTGTGTCAAAATGAAGGGCTAAATGACCTGTTCATTTGTTTTTCTGAATGGTCTGTCCAATGAGCGTTGATCTGTCGAATCATAAGGATGGAAAATTCGAATCGATCGATATAAAGGATTGATCTAAATCCTGGTTGGTTTGCTGACAACTGATACGTCGGCCTGATAGATAATTCGGGTCTTCATTTTGACAGATCAAATAAGGATTTCAATTATACAGTAGAGCTATCGGAACTATTCGGTGAGTCACGGTGTCGCCCAATAGTTGGCCACTTTCTTGTATTTCAGCAGAACTCGAGTAACTATAATTTCTGCTTCTACGTAATTTTAATATGCAGGTTTGCAACACCTGCAAAATTTAGCAGTTGTAACCTCTATGAGGAAGACTAGATGGATTTGGATTTAATCTGCCACAAAGATGATCCACCAGAGCTTGAATAGATATCTTCGGACAGATATATGGAAATATAATATAAAAGTGTGAAATTCTAGAACGTCAAGTATTTCCTAAAGTTATTTGTGGTTTAAGCATGTCTAGCTTATCTGAATGCATATGGCACAGCATGTTCGGTCGGTCGCGTTGCTATTTTAACGAGTTTTCTTTGCAGTCCAATAGTGTTGGTTTACTGCTTGTATCCGGCCATCTTTGTGTCTGTCGGACCGCTATGGCGCCTGTGTCAGTCTAGGGGACCTGGAGCTCTTTTTTTGATTCACTTTGCCGTGTACGACCTAAGTCACGCTCGACTTCTAACTCGCATGATGCCTTTTTTAGTATTTTTGAATTTTTGGCCAACATGATTCGAAATATTGAGTTTTCTTCATCGTATTGTCTCGAAAATAATTTTCTCATGTATATAACAAACAAGAAAATGTAAACAAAACGGCCATAAACGTAATTTATTCGTTTCATGTTTTGACTTTTATTTTATCACTGGCAAACAGCTTTCGATAAATGAAGAATGGTTCATATCACTAGTTATAGTAGGGCGAACTAGAAATGGCGAATTTTTTTCGAACGAAAATCAGTAGAAGAGGAGCTTTCGACGCGAGACGCATGATTCAAAAATAGAGCTTTTTTCATGGCATATGTACTATTACAATATATTTCACTATAGAATTAAAACTTCGTTTAACGCTGACTGGTTAAATATTTATAAGATTATTTTAATTATGGAACTAACAGGAGAAAAAAGAAAAACTTATTTTAGTTTTATTATCTCGTTCTTTTATTTTTTGGTATATTTATCTAAGTGCTAATGAAAAAATGTTTGCAAATGTATATATGATATAGGTACGGTACGCAAACTGCTTACTCAGGCTTAAATCAGTTAAAAAGAATACGTATGTCTTGTATTATCCTACATGCAGATGACAGGTTTACTTTTATTATATTTTGTCACTATTTGGAGTCTCAAATCAAGCGACGCTAAATCTATTACGTACGTGCATGTCTGTCCAATTCTTTAATGGTGTGTTATATGAAACCATAAATAAATAAATACGTGTTATGCTGATCATTAGCTCTTAGCCTACAACAGATGCCTCAAACACACAAAATAATAATACTGTACCAGTTTCATAAAACAATTTAGAAATGGATGCGGTATATAATATGCGGTACTATTGGCCTAATTGTCTAATTTTGAAATATATTGCAACCCCCTTTAAAGGTTTGATGGCGATTTATAAAATTAAGAAACGTTTGAAGTTGCAGTCGCTTTTGAAACAAATGATAATTTTAATAATTAAGAGTACAATTCCAGTTAACGTTATTTAGCGTCATTAGATACACTATTACATTAAAAATCTTTAAAAAAAATGTTACGCTACCACATGTCAAATAGTTGTAGCATGAATTTCATGAATATCTTTCAAATGCCAAATTTAAAGGGTTCGCAAAAATCTGATATTTATAATAAATAGCAAAATATCCGATACTTGATATTTATCCGATATATATCATGCATATGAAAACCAGCTATTTTTGAGCTTTACTTAAATTATGATCTTTTAAATAAAAGTTATTTAATACTTGTTTATTTATTATAAAATAATTAAAAAATAGCATGCGTACGAGGACTTACAGTAACGTATAGGAGAAAATACGAAATTTCTAGTAAGTAAGCTATATCGGGCCAATGTTGCCAGCGTCACATTGGATTGGTAAATTTTTTAGCTGAGACTTAATATTCAATACTTAATCTAACAATAAATATTATAAATACCAATTGATACATATCTCAATGTATATATCAATTGCTAATTTATCAGTGAACCCCGAAAAATACAGAACGGAGCGTCGGATACAGCGCTGTCACAGCATCAGAAGTTCTATGAAATAAAACCTCTATTACCTTTTACGCTGTAATTTTAACAGAATAGCAGTACTGATCTAAACAGAATCCAGTGATGAATTTTTACTTGAAGCATCCTGGGCCTTCTACCAGCGTTCAATTTAAAGGCAAGATGTAGAAAAAATTGGTAAAATAAAATTCATCGACTTATTAACTATCGACCTATAATGTGAGATGGGAATGTCATTCTAAGATTTTTTCTTTGTATCATTAGATAATGGAAGCAAAAAAACAATCCATATAAATATAAGAACAGGTGCCGCTTATGCTGCCCTTTTCAGTCTGTAGCTCTGAGTATAGTAAATGTGCAAGTGAATATATCTGTGGAGCGACGTAGGATGTCCATCTATTATTAACTCGTTGTTGTCACACGTCGATCACAATAATATTATTTAGATTCGAGCGCAACAATAAATATGCATTTCGTATGCACTCGATCACTGCGTTGTTGCATAAACCTTAAACTCTTCGCAAATTGCTAGCATCCTGTATGCCAGGGTTGTCAGTGGATAAAGTTCGAAAAATAATATTAAAGCGTAAATTAACGAACTTAGTGCTATTTTTCTTAATAAGTATTGAAAAATATAAATAAACGGAATGGGGTCAAATATAAACTTCGCGTCAACGCTTGTTATAGCCTACGTCATCTACCTATCTTTTGCATAAATAATAGCCTACGTCACCCGCTCATAAAATCCATCATTTTTGTAATATTAGTTGCTTGTCGCAGCCCTACACATAAACGTTGTTTGAATTTAAAGTGCGTGAACAATACGATCTCGGGACTAAACACCTCGGCGATATTATGAATGCGTACGACATAAGTGGTGGTTTATTTTAAATTACTCCGTGATGTAACGGGCCTTAAGATTCCTTTCCTAATAACTCAGTTTTGATTTTACATAATATGAATAATGTTGATTTGCAAATGAAAAAGTTTGTAAAAGTAAAATCTGGCTGCTAAAACATCACGTAACAAGAAAATATTATAAAATTACAAATTTTAATATCTAGGTAATGCATTTATTTACTTTAAAAAGATACTTATTGAAGATAGGTAATATCGATAAAAAACCTAATATGCATTTAAATAGAAATAGGGTAGGTCTGACAAATAAAATCCATTATTTTTAAACTTAATAGGCGCTTTTCAATCACAATCACATGATTGAAAATTATTCTAGCGGTCAGTCTATTGTAGCAGTGCTATTTTATGGAGATGCCCTGACATACTGACTGATAGACAACGCACATGTTAAAATGTTGGACGATTCAAAAGTATTTTTAAGAAGTCTATTTGAATAAAGATTATTTTGACTTTGACTTTGTTAAATCTCTGGTCGCAGACACTTGAAATTCGGAGGTTATATTCGTGTATCACGCAGAGGTGTACTAAGAACCGATTACTGGAAATTCCACCCCGAAGGGGGCCAAAAAGGGTGAAATCGGTTGTATGAAAGTTCTTTGTTTTTGGACCTATGTATATCGATGAAAAGTGGTATTTGGGTATTTTAAGACCTTGGGAAGGCAACAGGTTATTTTTATTCCGAAAACTAGCTCTTAAAGCACACTTAAAGGGATGAATACTGGAGTGAAAGTTTTTATGGGGAATCAAAATGTTACCATAGCAAACATTGTTCACATTTTGATTTTTCTTTGTAGTAGGTCTATCTAATATTATTTATAAAGATTTTTCCTTATATTGTGATGAAAAATTGGTATTTGAGTACATAATTGATAACAGAAATAACATTTTAAATAAATATTTTTGAAAATAATCAAGTACAAATAGTTTTATAAATACGGAAGAAATCAGAAACTATTTTTGTGCTTTACTAGATGGCGCTAAGTATACTTTTACATCGACTTTTTTGGTTAAGGTTGAGTTTTCAAATACAATTTAGTAAGAACCACATAAGAACTTTAAGCTTTGATATACTGATGAGAAGTTCGGTGGCATAATGAATGAGCGCCGCACGTGCAGTAACAGCACGCATTTGCAGTCGCCTAGAGGGTCATGGCCCAATCTCCTTAACCTATCCATAAGGAAGGCCCGAGCCCTTGCAGTGGGGACATAAAAGGGCTGATGATGGTATACTAGATGGCGTTAATTCTTAACTAAACCGCGTAAACGTTTTGTTCAAAAAATTTTACGTAGATTTCAGTTTTCGATTAAGTTTTGTGTGGACATTCGACTTGTCTTTTTCTTTCCATCTTTGTTTCAAATCATATTTCAAATAGAAATAGCTTTAAAGTTTTCAAAGATAAAATACTGAAATGTATTGGCCATCACACGGTTGCTGTACCTTAAATAAAAAAATACATATAGCTTTTTGTTGTAGTGTCTTCGAAGTTGAACATCAATTTAATTTTATTTGAATATTGTGGATATTTTTATACTAATAAAATTAAAAAAAAAAATAATAAAATTAATAATTGTGTTTCGTATCGTGCGTGATCCTTGACAGTTAACCAGTTCCCTGAGCTTTGTACAGTCGCACTGTAGAAGGACGTTGTGAGGCTTACTCAGATGCCGTGCAAATGATCGCGCTATTTTATTATAGGGCTAGCCGCCTAATTAGGTTGATGTTTTACCCAGTTGGATACGACATGTTTACTATAATATTAACGATTTAAACTTTGACATCGACCAAGCAATCGTGATTCATATTGTTCTTAGTCTATTTATTTCGGTAACTGTCTGGTAATCTCTTATTAGAGGTATATGATGAAATGAGCGAGAAGGAGAATCGTTTAATGATTTTCATACTAATATTATACATGCGAAAGTAGGTTTGTGTATATAACAGTTACGCTCTCACGCCTAACTCACTAAATAGAGTTGACATAAGGTAGGTTGCTTTTTATTGTATTAGAAGTGTTGAAATAAGGAATTTAATTTTGTATGGAAATTCGTCATTGTTAAAGATAAAGTCATGAAACTTTATTTCAGGTATTTAACACGATATAATGACGATAAATACGTGTTGGGAGTCGCGGGCAAAAGATAGTATGTATATAAAACCGTTTATAAAATTTCAGAAGGTGCCGAATTATTTTATAATTAAACCTCTAAAGCTGTGACAGCGCTATTCGACAATGTATATTTAACAAAGCAGAAATGTAATTAAAGATGCAAATTCAAAACAGAATGAAACCGGCTTCATATCTGAAGCACGATAAGTTAAATATGCACCGCAGTCACAATGCAATTATGTAATTATATTTATTAGACCAAAACTTGTAAAAATTAAATGTAGAGAGTCTAAAGCTGCTTCTCCACCAGAGATGCGTTAAGCAGTTAACTAAGGATGTGTCATTGTCATAAATCATGATATCCACCAATAAAAATTGTTTATTTTAACAGATCAACTGGTAAATTTCCAAGAGGTGATAGACTAGAAGACATTCCTGACTGCTTTATGACGAATGGTTGAATGAATTCCTGCCATACACGCTCTATACCTATATCGGACGATATTTTAACATCATATGAAGAGACGTTTGAAGATAGAAAAGAATAAAAAATGGAAACGAGTACCAGTTTCATTTCCTTCATGGTTATCTAGCATATCTTGCAGGTGGAAAAGCAGCCTTAGTTTTCAGTGGTCATAAAAAGTAATGCAGATTATGCAGAGTTTCTACGTAAAAGATACCCTTTATTGTGATTAGACATTCCTGAATAACAAAACAGCTATGTGATCGAGCGACCAGTGAATCAACATCCAGTCACGAGCCATCAATTCAGCTAAATGTGGGTGATACTTATTACACTTGTTACGTTAACGGGTAGGTTTATTTTTATAATTAGTAAGAAGGGAATAAAATTCATTTCGTTACAAAGTTGCTATTTATTAGAGTGAGTTATGAGAAATTTTGTTTGCTCTCACGGATTATAATTCGTAGTATACCTCTATCCAGATTCTAATTGTAAATAATATTGTTACAAATAATCAAGTATATCTTTTCTTCAGTTGAGTAGATATAAGCGATATAAAAGCTTCGTCACAATAACTACTCGATAAATGTTCACACAACCATTGATTCAGATGAAACGGTACACGGTTTTTATGCTATTGTTTTTTTTTGACCCAGGGAAAGTCCGTTATGCACTATCCCTGCAGCCTAACGGGATGTAATTGTCTGAATTAATTTCATGTATATTTAAGTCTTGATTGCGCGGGATGGCAGGTAGCGAATGAATACTTTGTCCTTTGCTGTATGTAGTGAAAATATTAACTGCCTATTTATTGTCATATCTGTTTTCTTTACCTTTTGTTAACCTTGGTACAGCTTTGCCGACGGTGTACTGTCAGTTCTTCGAGTGTCACGACGATCCTTCATATGATCCTCAGGAGGGTCCTCTATCAGAATTGCAGTTCACGTGGCTTGGAGCACTGCAGTATATTCATGGTAATCTATTTAAATAATATTGGTATCAATAATATACGAGTTTTTCTTCTGTTTTTAGTGTCTATTATAAGCTGTCTATGGAATTTCGCATTAAGTAGTAAAAGACCAGCCATGCATAGAGCATTGCTGATCAAAAAACAGCCTCGGACATTAATAATCTTTTAAAATAGTTTCTATTTGAATGAATCTTCATGCAATGCGCTGCGCTCGACGACGAGTCCAAGATTGTTTTTAAACGGAATAGCACCGCAGCAAACATTTGTAGATCTCGAGATACTTTTGTAGTATGCTACATTTCATTTAGAAATGTTTCTCCAGGTTTGAGATACTCGCGTAATCCCATACAAATATTCTGGTTTTGGGAATCTGGATGAGCTCATAAACTAACATATGTTTATAATGTGATCCTAACTAATTTGTTGTAGTGAAGAATGGTACCCCACATTACTTTAGAGTACCACGGGTGGTGCTAATCACTCGTCAATTTGCGCTCTCCACGGCCGTAGACGCCGCACAAATACCTGAAGGTTATGCTTTGTAAGTTTTCAATTTATTTACTATTAGATTAGCTTTCTGTCAGCGGCTTTCCCACGTGGTGCCTAAGGAACCGACTAGTAGGATAAAAGTAGCCTATCATTCAGACGTATACCATAAAATAATCCGTTTAATAATCTTTGGGTGAACTAGTAAAAAATGGTGACATTATCTAATTGTGCAGAATATACATAGTGCATATATTTCATATTTAAATTTCAATATTTTGATACTTATTGTAATTTTTACTAACAATTTCGAGGTCGAGCGATGACTAAATTATAAAAAATGGATGACCAAAGATTCTTGAATATCTTAATCAAATAATTTGTAGTCGCTTTTAGGTTTTTGAGAATAGATAATAATCTTGATAATTTACTACTCCTCAAGTTGTGTAATTTCTCATGAGTGTAATTGTTTATAAGAGGTAATGTAGCTTTCGGTGATTACGAGCGGGACGAGACAGAATGCCGAGTGTCTTTCGAGGAGATGGCCCACGGAGCGGAGTGCGACCCGGCGGTGCTGCTGATGCCCATAGCTGACGTGTTGCTGCACCCCGAGTACAAGCACTTCGGAGCTAAGAACAGCCTCGCCATATTAAAACTTATTACGCCCATCAAATCGAGTGAGTTACAAAATGAGAATAACAACATTCCTTTTTATTATTTTTAAGTCAGTCATATTTAAAAAGAGTCGTATGGTATAAAATCCACTCTACTATAATCTATACTATATCGAATAGGCTCCCAAACTATACGACGGAATTATCTACGGAAAGTTACATCATACGCGGATGACATAGGCTATAATTTAAGCAGGCGAAGACGCGGGACAACAGCTAGTATTGTTGTGCATAAAGAGAATACAAGATGGATGAAATTCGACGTGACGAATAGAGAGAGAGATACAATAAAAAATCAATGAATTATTTTCAAATCATAAAATTATTGTAAGTATATTTAATAATGCGCCTAAGTACACTACACAGTGACATAGACAATCATCAATTCATTGTACGAGTGGAATTTGATTTGCTCCAATCTTCTATAATATAAAAATGAATCGCAAAATGTGTTGGTAAGCGCATAACTCAACAACGCCTGGCCCAATTTGGCCAATTCTTTTTTTTAAATGTTCGTTGAAGTTCAAGGATGGTTTTTACGGCGGAGAAAAATTTGAATATATGCCGGAAAAACCGTAAGAACAGCCCTTTTCTTTTTCTCATACAAATGTATTAATAGTAATAGTATTAAATATAGAAAAAAGAGATTTTTATGATCATAAAAACACATTACACACAACAGCATTATAAAAGTAAACTATTCGAATTAAAAAAATATATAAACATTCTCAAGGAAAAATGCTGGAAGAATCCATCTACCTGTACCCCGGAATGGGACTCGAACCCATTCGCGATCCAGGGACTGCTCTAACCAATGAGCTATCTAGGACCCAACAGCTTTGCTACTACAGAGCGTATTTTCATCAATGTTCCGGCAATACATGTAATGACGTGGAAACTGATGCATTTTATCTCGCGTGCCGAAACTAATACAAAAGAAACGCGAGTTTCGGAACGCGACATTAAACTCCTCCAACTATGTATTCTGTGCTCCAACGCACACACGCACATTGTTTTGTGATAGATATGATCTTTGACGTTAGGAACACACCTACATTGCTTAGATAACAGTGAGTGCTTGTAATTTAATATGAACTTTATACAATAGTAATAGAGCTCAAATTGACTCAACGTTTTAGTTACAAATCATTTGTATGGGAAAAAGAAAAGGGCTATTTTTAGGGTTTTTCCAGCAATAATTCTAATTTTCTCGCCGTAAAAACCATCCTTGAACTTCAACGAACATTTTAAAAAAAGATTTGGCCAAATTGGTCGAGGCGTTGTTGAGTTATGCGCTTACCAACACATTTTGCGATTCATTTTTATATATATAGATAAGTATCAAGTGCTGCTTTTCAGTGCATGTTGTGACACCTTAGAATGTTGTGCATTTAGTTATGTTATAGCGATTATATTCTAATAATTCATTTAATGTAACAACTATTGGATGTCCTAATAAATAAATAAATTATCGCTATACAAAGTTGAAATTCAATAATATCAATACAGTGTGCGTGTGTGCGTTGGAGCACAGAATACATCGTTGGAGGATTTAATGCCGCGTTCCGAAACTCAATTAAAGTAAATCATTAGTATTGATTTTCAATTTGGTCGGCTTTGTAATTATGATTCACATAATTAACAATAAAGCGATTACTTACTTTTAAATGCTTATAATATATATTTTATTTTATTATTTCTTATTCACCACGCTCTATCACCAGGGTGACGGTTCAGTTCATGAGAATTTTTTGCCCCGACTATAAAATAAGTAGGAACAAAAAACTGCCACATTACAAATCTTTTTGACAGGACGAAGTCTGTCGGGTCCGCTAGTATTTAATATAATGTAGTTTGTCGTAGATTTTTAGACATAAACTTGTCCTAAATAAAACTACTATAAAAAGTTTTATGGTGGTTATTATTGAAAAATTATTAATTTTTTTCATACAGGTCATACAGGTCCGTTACAGGTTCCGTGTTCACTAGACTATTATATTATTATATTAGAAATATGCTAACTTTCGCAATCAACTGTAACTGATTTTGGTTTCGGTACTTCTTTCGAATTTTATTAATAATTATTATTTAATATTAACTTTTGTACATGTTTTGTATACAGAAACAAAGCATTACAACTCCTTAACAGGTCTATAACACATACAAAGTCTCTACACGACCGAAGCTCACCGCTGAGTTCGGACGACCGGTGCACAGAATTTTGTAGTAATTTTCCGGTACCGTTTTTATTGAAATAGGATAATAAATTTGTTCAAAAAATTGTAAATTCTTTATTACTTTTAAGTAATTATTATTCTGGTAATTCTTCAATAATATTATCGTTGATATGAGAAATACACAGTTAACTTACTTACAGCTATTTTCCGAGATTTTTGGTTATATTAAGATGTTTTTCCATATTTAATCAATGATGTTTCTTTTTGAGGCCTCTAGGAACTATATATACATCTACCTACAAGAGATAGGTCATATTATATATTTTTCTATTCGTTTGTTTAGTTAACCAGTAGCTCAATCGATAAGCTCAAAAAAGTGAGAGCGTATTATATGAATATGTATCTCTCGCCACAATTTTGGGTTAGTTATAAAGCCAACTTAATTATATTTATTGTAAACCTATGCCAATAGTTATTGTACACTATTTAAGAACGCTAATATTGACTATTTTACTTATAAATGGTCGAGATGTAATATCGCCGTTAATTTATATAGATATATTAAATTATAGTAACTGAAAGAATATACGTTTGCTTGTTTAAGGATACATGTTACCGGCCTGTCTGCCGTTTAAGAACTATTTGATGTTACGTAACGGACGTCAAACGAAGGATCGACTCTATCACGTGGACTTTGTTAGTGGTGAATACTCTATATTGTCGTTGGACATCTATATTATAAGTATATACTTATAAAAAAATGAAATAAATATAGTTAACTACAATATTATCGAACAATGTCTAAATGCAATCGCATTTGGCAAAAGATTCTTATTATATATTTATAGATAGAGACCTCGTGTCAAGAATGTACAAGAACTTTCTAAAGCTTCATATTTCAGTACTTTGAAGTACTAAGTGACTAACTTTTAGCACTTGACCTTCGCCCTGGGTACTGAGTGGTGGACATTTTGTTTATACACGTAGTACTTTCATCATCCTCATAAGACGCCGTAAGACGCCCACTGCTGAGCATAGGCCTCCCCCATAGATTTCCACGACTATCGGTCCTGCAGTACTTTAAGATACTGAAATTTTAAATATCTACTTGAAATTTTGGCGTTAGAAAGCTCTTCCACATTTATGATATGACCTCTTAGACTATTAGTGGAAAATCCACAATAATTCACAATATAACATGATTGTTCGAATAGCCAACATTTACCAATTGTGTAGAATTAGTAAAACTTCCTTTATTCTTGTATATTAGATCGTAACCAAATAAGAATCCCTGTATTTTATTAATAAATATTGCAGATGTACCAAGAGACTTTATTGAAGAAGAGAAAGAAGTCACACGCATCAGACTCCTACCGAGGGAATTGTGTTATTTATACGACAACCCTGAGGTAAACAATATCTGCATATTTCATTGGTCGATAAGTTGGTCGTTATACCGCATGTGGGGACTCCCTGATGGCGGGGTAACGACTGATGACAATCAACAGTCAAAAGTTCATTCGCATGCGAGTTCTCCTCATATGCAATAATAATTTTGTTATTGTAAGTATACGTTACAAATAATGTTACGATTTATGGCTCAGTTACATTGGTCAACCAGGTCCACGTGCGGGTTGCGGACGATTTATGTGGCTCACTTTCATTGATCGTTGAGATGAGCCCGTAGCAGGAACCACACGTGGAGCGTGGGTGACCCTCGACCAGTGTAATTTAACCATTATAGTGAACTTGACATTTGGCATGCGCTAAAGAAATAACCCGACCTCGCGCGACCTACTGACCAATAAAATGCCTATTGAAAATTTTCATACCAAGTTTGAAATATAAGTAAACCTACTGAAAAACGCTTAAAAAATCCACTTTGTCCCTGGCACTTTGAGATGGGTCTCGAACCTATGATTTTCAGTAAAGTATTGTGAATTCAAATTTGATCAAATATAATAAATAAACCCCTTAGAAGTATTCCAATATGGTCTAGCTAAGTTAAATATGAAACAACATACCGCAATGTTGTCTGAAATAAAATAATTATTACTAAGTAAGCAGTACCTATCTATTTTTAGATTAAAATAACAAATGCTGTGGATTTATTGTATGCTCAACGTAAAAACTTTGCCTGGAAATAACTTCGATTCAAAACATCGTTCTCGTTTGTTTGGTGGTTGGCGCCTTCTTAGGTTACAAGTGTGGGTTTATAACTAGTTTATAATAACTAAATCACTAAACAAGCCGGCAGTAACCAGCCAGTTGGTAGCCATGTTTAAAATTTAAATAAAAGTTGATAAAGACAACGTGATATATATTTTGTGCGTAATAATAAGACCGAGCTTAATTTGAAAAAATGTAATGCCTTCGTAAAATACAAAATAATAGAATTAATATAAAAAAAATATACCTACATCGTTGAACATATAAGCTCTTCTTATTCGATTTCGACGTCTGTTAAAATTGTAAACTCTTTGCGATTTGGGTATTAAATGGATGTAAACGTTCCAATCCACAAGTTCGTCAAAATCGAGTTTATAATGCCAAGCTACACGTTTTGGTACCTTCTATCTTATTATGACGAACTCTCGGGACTAATATTGACGAAGTTATTTAAAATCTCAAAAACGAGCCTTAGAACACTATCAGCAACTAAGAAAAGTCTCATTTGTCTTGAAACGTTTTGTTTATATTCAATTTAATGCAAAAGTTTCAACAAAATACTTCTCGAAAACAGAGACTGCTCTTAAGAAGCAACAACGTATTTAAACAGGAGAAGAATACATACACATAATACAAAATGAAGAAAAATGAAACCCTTTTCAAGTATACAAAATGCAGAAAACTGACTATTATAGCACCGAAAATGTAAAAAAAATATAAACAGGAAAAAATTTACAGATATAACTAAAGTGAATCGGTTAGCAGCAAAAGAAATTAAGATTGAAAAAGAAAAACCATTATCTGTTTTCATGATACCATCGCTTGTAGAAAACTTCAAGGAATTGAATATTGAAAGGAGTTCCAAAGGAGAACGATTCCAAACAACTAAAAGCGATTTCAGTATACTCTGGCTTAATGAAAAAAAATCCCCGTCCAAATTAGCGGACTTACAATCGCTATAATATAAGAATATTTATAAAAAAATAAAATCATCTCAAGAAATTATTGATGATGTTGCAAGATATGGAGGAGAGACAGATTTTATTCCTGATATTAAGGATTGACTCCTTAATCCTCAATATCAGCATAAAATTGGAGCATATTATAATTATGACTCATTATTTATATTTTTATACAATGAAACGTTTCTGTAAATTAGTGTTTGAAATAAATTCATGCAAAACAGGATTTCTCAGAAACGTTCCAAGCATTTTAATCAATAATTACTGTTTTTTACATGAACTAAATGTAGAAAATTAATCATGTCAATATTAATAGGCATGAATTTCTTTTAAATAATCAGTAGTTTGCCTCTACCTCTTACAATAAAAAAATGTACAGCTCAAACACAAAACCGAATTTACATCAGTTTGACCTCCTTGTGGAATGGAAATGTTTATGGATAACTACGTTCAAATAAACAAAAAATGTGGAACGCTTCACGATTTTGCGTGTCATCCTTGCGCAGGGGCCATGCTAATCTTCTCTGTATCGTTCCAATTTTAGTATATGTACTGCCGAAGCAAGTACATTTAGTATGTTTAAATTTTAATATATATACTAAATGTAAAATAAAATTTTGATACCGCGATTTAAGTACGCATAGTTTTCTCCGTGTGACGTAAATCTACGGTACAGCGCCATCTGTTAAGAGCTTACTGAACTAAAACAAACCAGACTACGAAGTGACTGACGTCATGCGTTTATTTTTAAAAGAAAGAAATACACTAGGTTGTTGATTGAATATATAATATTTTTTGTAAATAATACACAGCTTTTGATGTTTCTTTTTTATTTTAGATCAATTTTGCATTTACAATTCTATATTGTAACGGAAAATGCTGAAACTGGTGAATTTTTAAAGCATTTTTCTTAAAAGACTTTTTTTAAAAGTTAAAGTTTCTAATTTTAAAATTATAAGGTTTAAGTAGAAGTTTTTGTAAACTTGAATAATTAATAAATTCACATATTTATCGTAAACAAATCTATAATTAATTCATTTAAACTTCGTTTATAGAAAGAAGAAAATCTTAAATGCTACAATCTACAATGCAAAGGTATCTGATCATTCATTTTGACAATTCAATTGAAGCTTCAGTTACGCTACAAAATATTGTTTTGTGGTAGAAACAATGCATCTTACTTATGATTATGTTTAGATTATAAATCGATTTTAGTTTTGTTTTGGAATTTGTTTAGATATAGATATATTCTGTGGTGATAGGTAGAGTATTTACATATATACTGCCTGAAATTTTATTTATTAAATGTAGAACCAAATTAAATTAAAAATTATCTATGACTAGGAATATCATTAAGCGAATTAGTTATTAAAATTAATTGTTGGTACTTGTATAGATGAATAAATCCGTAGCATCAAGCAAAGATAATAATTATTTGTGCATCACCAATGATATTGGCACAAAGGCTCAAAAAGGTTGATAGCGAATTGTACTTCTTAGCCGCATAATTTTAACTGTAACCGTCAAAAAATAACTAACAAGCGAATAGTTAGTTATTTTTTTACAATGACAAAAAAGAGAATGTTGCAACTACATTATCGTAAAATTCGATATAAACCTGATAGTGCAATCCAACTAGAGCCTTGATCTGTTATTAGTTATTTTATATTTATTTAACATTACATAAAAAATTGTTGTTTACTAGAATGCCACTGGTAAGGTGCCGCGCCGGATTGCGTGCACCACAGGGTGCGGGTTCCATTCCGGAGCGCCCAGCTTGGTCCACGAGCACACCGGCCACTGGTCCATAGTAGCACTGTCCCAAGGTGAAGTTTTATTTGCATAAATTGTTTGGAAATTAAAAACTTACGCTTTTTGATAAGGCATTGCATTCTAGCGATAGATGTGTCATTGATTCGATATATTATTATCATAATTATTGAGGTTTTCCCTAGGTATAAGAGGCCACCTCGTTAAAGCAATAATAAGTCCAAAAATGTCTATTAATATTCTATAATAATACTATGTAGTTGTCTAGGGAATTGACGGAATTTTATGCCGTCTTGTATAGGAAAAATTTGTAATTAGTGCACAAATTTTTTATTATGTTTAGTTTATATATATTCGAATACTTTTTATTTCATTTTTAACTTATATTAATATTGAAGATAAAAATAAAAAATATATTTATATATACTATTTAAATATATTTATTTATAAAAAATATATTTATTTATATATATCATATTAATTGCATCCGGAGGTTGGCGAGCGATTTTTTAAAATATTCTACATGTTCCTTACTCCTGTTAAAAGAGTATGATAATGTTAATAATAAATAAATACAAAATTATCGTAATATAATTATGTTGTATAAACAAAAAAGTTGTGCACTGATAACTTATTTTTCCTGTATACCTTTTGTTATTCGCTGATAAATAATATGGCTTTATATTGATATAAGAGTTTTTAAAAGCAGTACCTGTCAAAATATATAATTATTTCTCTGTATAATATGAATGTTGGTTGTTGGTATTTTACTTCATTGAACAGCTTATTTATTTTAACTTATTGTGGATTTACTAGTATTTCCAAAATACTTCATTATAAATAATTAATTTTGTATCTTTATTGAAAACTTATATACGACTAAATTTAATTTATCTAAAATTACTACCATCTATATCTCTTACTCAGTTGCACAAACGTCCACTTTAGGCTCTAAATAATTTTTAAAGTGGGTGTATGAGTATCTAATTAAATAATTTGGACAGCTAAGTTATATATATTTTTAGGGGGGTTCCCTTGTCCTGATCCCTTAAGAGCTAGACGTCCTCCCCCACCTCCGAGGCACATCCTCATCCACCCGTACGTGCCTTGGATCACCGCAGCTATCACAGGGAAAGCAGTAGGAGCCTTCGCGAAAGATGACCCTTTCGGTATTTATTTTTATATAAATTTATGTTTATTCTAACTAGCACATTTAAAAAAAATATCATAGGTATATTTTCCTAGCAACGTAATGTCAGTTTCGACACGTGATATGAATGAACGTCGGGAGTTTAGAACAATTTCTTTTTTTTTATAATTCATGGTTCAGGAAAACTTACCCTCATTAATTTCAAGTTTATATGTTAAGTAAATAAATATGTAGAACTCACTAAAAGAAAATCTTGTATAAGTCTAAAAGTTTTCAAACCTTATGTAGAGTCAAGCTTCTCATTCTACATGTCCTAATTACATATTAACAAGCCCTAAATTGTGACTCTTATACCTTAGTAAGATATATGGCGTGGTGGTTTTGCTACCGTCATATAAGGTACTACCTTATTAAACAATACCATAGTAAAGTATTAGTATTGTTCTCTTCAATACTATGAGTATAATAATAGTTCTTGTAATCGGTCAAGCTTTGGTGGCCCCTGATTTAGCTAGTCAATCCATGCATATTTTATTATTCTACATGTTATTAACATATGTATAGTCTTTGTAACAATAAAAAAACAGATGACGGTGGATATTCCTTCGGTATATCGTAGCTCTACAATTATGAAAAGTTGTGTTATTTTTTTTTATTATTAGGCACACTAGAATTTGATAATCCAAATAAGTTTAATTCGTAACCATACGTTGAAGTGTGAGTCATGTTATCAAAAATATGGAACGTTTTACTATATTGCGTGTTTTATAATAAAAATATGTGGAATGTTTCACAATTTTGCGTGTCATATAATCAAAAAATGTGGAACGCTTTACGATTTTGCGTGTCATATAGTAAAAATAATTTGGAACGCTTCACGATTTTGCGTGTCATATAAACAAAAAATGTGGAACGCTTCACGATTTTGCGTGTCATCCTTGCGCAGGGGCCATGCTAATCTTCTCTGTATCGTTCCAATTTTAGTATATGTACTGCCGAAGCAAGTACACTTGGTAAGTTTAAATTTCTGTATATATACTAAATTTAAAGAAAAACTTTAATATCGCGATTCAAGGACGCGTACTTCTACTAGGTGTGTCAGAAAATTTATATAATAGCGCCATCTATTGAACGGTGATAAACTAAAACTAAGTTAAGATTACCCTAACATGTAGCACAGTACCTTAGCGGGGTAGTGAATGGTGATAATGGGGTCAGAATATTTATGTATGGAGCGAAGTGGAACCTATTATTCATCTGCAATATTAATTTATTTGTATAATATTTTAACTCTACCAGCTTACTAAAACTTTAAAAAGATTTAAATTTTATAAAATTCTGTTTAGTGAATAAATTCATATTTCTATTAATATTTTGTGTTTACTGATATGAGATTTATTCAAATATCCATCAACTGAATTAAAAAGAAACACAACCTTTTTTACATAATTATCAGGGTTCATAATGCCACGCGCGTCTATTTACGATCGCATCGGTCACGGCTGGCTCGGCCACTGGTGGATGGGTGGGCTGCGTTGCTACGACAGAGGCGAGGCGGCAGACGATATATTCAAGTTCTACCACGAGATATTCTCTATCAAGCCTACATCGTTCACTTACATGAGTTATTACCTTGAGGTAATCGTTATGTATAGCTGTTTTCACGTTTGCAATTTGACAAAGCAAAATTTGCAAAGCAAAATCTACAAAGGCAAAAATTAGGCCTAGTAAATGTTTATTAAGACTTTCTATTTCGTATTGAGTGTAATAATATTTATCTATTATTGTTTATATTGATTACGTTAAATTATTTATATAATACTTTGGAATTACACTGTACTCTCACTCCACATTTACTTTGATTTTTCGCTAGCGACCAAACGGCGACTAGGGTGCCGCTGAAAATCAGTGTCTGTTTCATATATGGAACATCCAACACTGAGCTGTATACCTCTTGGGCTACTGCTTCACACTCTAGTTCGTGATATAAATCGTTGTCTTTTGTAATTTTAATGTTTCTATACACCAACTAAGTATTTTACAACAACTTATAATGTAGTGATAGTAGTGGTTCAACAAAGCATTTATCTATCTATCTATTTGGTTTGAATTAATATTTTTTTTACATTTTTATGATGTGTAAAAAGGTTCTCATGGAGAAAAGAGTGAAAAAACAATGAGGAAACTTTTTTAGGATGAGTTATTCACTATAATCAAAATAGTCAACGAAAAAGCACAAAAATATAAGCCCATTAAATTAATTCCTAAAAAAATTTACAATAACAGATATTATTTTAAACTGAGGTTTTAATTGTTAACCAGTTGATATAAGTTTGATAAAATTAGGACTTTTTGATTTATAAAACGTAAAAGAAAACTTAAGCCATTGAGAATAATCATTTAAGATTTTATACTTTTCTCAATCTATAAACCGGCTGTATGTGTACATCATAGTACTGTGTTATACTATAGGTATGTATAAATTATTAACAATATGTTGTGCCTATACTATATGATAGAATGGAAAAAATAAAAAAGTAGCAAACTATTTCCAGATAATCATCATTCAACTTAGATGTTTCTTTGTTGCAGATAGATAGTGCTCAAAATACTTTGATCATCTGTGTAAAGGTGGGTATGCCTTATCAGTTAGGCAAACCCAGAGTATGGGAGCTGGATACGCCTGTTGTGAAGGTAAATACTTAGTTCACTGCTTATAGCAAGGGTCGGCCGGTAATCTTTAAAGATAAATGCCGTAACGTATATAATCATCAGATAACCAGCATTGAAACTTTTTTATTATTAGTAAGGTTTTTGAAATGAAATAAGCAGACAGATGTTCTCATATAAACTATTTATGTGTGCGCTTTGTGGCCACTTTCCGAAATTAGCTCTCGAAATTATATTATAGTTTTGATATCATAATTTTATGCATACTTCAATAAATAATGAACTAACTTCATACTTCAAAAAATTTGATAAAATTGCCGACTTTAACTTATTTTATTATTTGAAGATATTATTTCTCAAAACATTTTAACTAGCTTTCTGACAGCGGCTTCGCCCGTGCAGTTTACACGATGGCTTGACAGTACATTTATTTCTAGGGAACTGTATAATAGAATAATAATAAAACACCCACCAATTCACACTGAGCCCGCGTGGTGGGTCAAGGCCTATTCTCCCTATTGGATTTGATTTGATTTCGTCCATAGGGAAGCCCTGAGCCCCAGCAGTGGGGACCCTGAAAGGTGGTTGATCATAATGATATATTATGATCAACAGTAAACTAAGTGCCAATGCTGAGTACAGATCAAGACAAGTGAAGTTAGTAATTATGGTATATAATACCGAGTATCATTCATCTCCCGAATGCCTCGCTCGCTGTTGCCAGGTAGACGCAGGTAGGAGCATCATGATTCTTCATACTTATTGTACATTTTTTCGCAGGTGAGGGTGCCGCTGCTGACATTTAAGTTTATGTACCAGATGCAAGTGGAGGCGTGGGCTTACAATGCTACCTCGTCTTCCACTAGCGAAGAGGAGAGCAGCAGCTCAGAGGAGGAAGAGGAGGAGGAGGAGGACGAATATTATTAATTATTACGACGCCGATTGACCGTAGACCTGTTTCTACCAACGGAAATTTGGAAAATTTTGGATCGTTCTTATAATTTTGTTCAAATCGTATCGATGAAGATAATCTGTGCATCACGGGGTGTCAGGTTCTATTTCCGTTGCATTATTCTTATATAAACCGGTTTCTTTGGAGCCATATCATTGTGTGGCGGCGTAGCTCCTAGATGAATGAACCTATTTGAGTGCGGTTTTTATCGAAAGCCTTGTTACTGTAGTTCTTTACTATGTTTTATGAAAATCGTATTACCAGTCTTTAAGTGGTACAAGCACGATGCCAAAACGAGGTAGCTATTATATATGGTTAAGGATTGGGTTGATTTGATTAATGTCTTTTTATTTGATAGCCTCTTTCGTCAAGATAATTTTGAGATACATTTTTTATTTATTTTATTTCTGAATGTATAATTTATTATCTGTTTATTGTTTTTTATGGATGCTTGTAATTTTCTCTTCAATATTTCTTTTGCTGACGTGTTGGTAATACAAGCAGTTGTTAGTTTCCTTATAAAAATAAATAAAAAAATTACTACCTACCAGAATTTATATATTAATTATAATATTCAGTAATTCGATTATAATTAAAAATTCACCCATAAAATTTGTAAAAAGAGCTCGCAATAATTCTATCTCCTATAACTTGTAATAATCTATACTGCATTTTTTTTTATTTGCGTAAGTATAAGAATGTTTCTTATGATAAAGACGTTTCGGTCACGTTTTAGCAATAATCATATACACCTACAAGGGATGAGAAGATAAACAAAGGGGCGTGTAGATACACCGACCGGAGATATAACGGAAAACAGCGAGGACTCGTTATATTACACAGAAAAACTATTCGGCTATATTTTATCTATTAGCTTATATACGTGACGATACATATTTTGAATGTAACATATGTAAGTTTTGGAAACTCTATACGATATCCTTATTTTAGTTCTCAAATTGTCTGTATCAAGTTTCACCATGATAACTCCCGTGGTTTCATTGCAAAAGCTAAACATTCAGACAGAGTTACCTATTTTATATTAGCTTTAGTGGATAGCAATTATGATACTTATACCGTTGTGATTGGAAAATTGCTGACGTGCAAAAAGAAAGATATAAGGTGCAGATTAACTATTAAAATTTCGTTTGTATTGTATAATACTACTATCATACAATTTTGTTTAATGAGAATATTCTCAATTGTTTATAATTATTTTATAGTTACACAGTAGACTTAACATTATGTTCACCTTCATATTAAACATTCGATTTCAATTTACTTTATCAAAAACTGTCAACAGCAATCAGCGAACTTTCAGAAATGTATTCAAAAACGTCGAATAGACTTTCAGCGTGCGATAAGTAAACTGCGGGGAATAGAATGACATTTGGAATTGACTTTTATGGTTAAAATAAAAGAGTTTTATTTCGATCAGCAATGGGATTAAAAGGACTATATTTATTATTATTGTGATAAATCGAATACAGAGATATAACACGAACCAAATAAAGCGTTTAATTTTGTACGGTCCGATGAACAATCAGAAAACTTGTAAATAAAGCCATTGATCAAAAATAATGTGTTGTTTTATTAATTTTTATTCTGCCTTGGCTGGCTTTATATAATAAGAATTTTATACGAACCACAGAAGTAACTACATTTCGATGTTACAATTTTTTATTAATATTTTAAAATATAAAAAATGCGCGGTATTGACTTCTTCCTTAATCACATTTTTTATAAAACATATATTATAAACTGTTTAAAATTTAAATGTAAAACGCTTGCCAATAATGTTATCCCAATATTTTTATTGTCTATATGTTGAATCGTCTATACAAAGTACATAGGATATTTTATAAAGATTGTGTTCAAATGTAAATAGAATCTTAATTAAGAAAATGAAAAATACGTAGTACTTAGTAGTTGTAGTCCAGCCATTCTTAGATCAACTAATGTCTTAATCTGACGTAATTTGTAATGTAGAAATCATACACAGTTCATCGTAAATACATCAAGTGAAACAGTTTGGATCTAAAATATTCTGCATTTTTATTTATATGTTGTTTATAACTTTCATAGTCATTAACTTTAGTAGTAATCTACGGGATTAACTCGATAAATATTAAATGACCGTCGTCTTAACGGATCTATTTGTTTGTGAAAAGACCGCTTATTTTGTAAATAACATAAGAAGAATATAATTGTAGATTTTGGAGCTGTAATTATTAAAAAATAATTGTATTGCTTATTTTCTGCAAACCATACGAGAGACCATAAGACGACTACATTAAAGTATCCTCGCCCATTATGAATAAAGTCATTTTGCATCGTGTTAAACATCCAGACATGGGCTGGAAAGTTCGCAATAAATTAAGCAATTAAAATACACTGTATGTTGGTTTACTGTTGTTTTATTTCTTATTACATTGCAACTGGCTTCTGTATTTATTAGAACGAAACGAATATAGAAAAAATATCAAGTTTGTTTATATGTATGAGATAAATACTTTAAAAGGCAAGTAAATTTAATTTATACAGCCATATCCGAATTATTTTTCCTAGTTTTCATTAAAATGTTTATTTTCGATGTCACGATGTTTTATGGAGTTTTTATGGTTAATCAAATAAAATAGGAGTCAGCAGGAAATTTGGTGACCTATTCTCGCTCTTTATGTTCAATCTCAAAGGTGATGCATGCATCATTAAACCGATTCACTAAAATTGAAGTACATGAGCAGTTGCATTATGACACTTTATTTCAAATTATCTCATTAATTTTCTAATAAAAATATGCAACCTTCAAGCTAATATCGCGCCAAGACGTTAAGTTAAAGTAAAGGCTGACTAAAAAAAAACTGTAACAAACAAAAAATGAATATAAAAACAGTTCGTAAGTTACCTAAATATAAAATTACAATTGCTAAATAGAACAAATGTATGTATTTGTTCTATTTAGCAATTGTAATTTTATATTTTGGGTTTGCCGTGATACGTAAACTTGGACGATATTTCAAGATATAATTTTGTTTTACATAATATATAATTTGTATTTTTTTAATCATAATGACTTTATTATTACAATATTTTATATTTCAATTTATACGATTTACAATAATGTTCACACTAGATTATTTTTTTACGAACTGACATTTATAAAGAGCATATTGGATTAGACAAAATTTCAAATTACGAAAGGTGAATAATAAAAAGAAATGATATTGAATATCAAAGACAAAAAGTTTGTATGCTGAAACCTAGGATGAAATAAACGGTGGTACGGCGCACCGTTACAATAGTAAATTTCCGAAGTGAACCAATATTTTTTTTTAAACAAAGCGTTTCTTTGCATAGTTAAGAATTATATCATTTAAAAAGTTATAAATTCATAAACCAGCAAAGAGTTATCTAATTAAAGTTCATCGACATTATTATTCGAACAAACGAATGTAGGTTTACCGTTGAACACTTTTTTTCGTAACCCAAACAAAGATGTCGGAACGCGAAATCTTTGGAAACAAGAGGAGCCGTGATGTTTTTTTTAAACAAAAACAAGAAAACCGTCGGTGGTAGGTACTGTCACTCAGTGAAACGGTTTCAGCTTTTGATATACGATATTATGGGATTAATGCATTACTAATTAGTAATGGATCAGTTGACAATGTTTTTGGAACCGTGAAAATGCATTTTGTATTCCTTTGTGTGATATTTTAAATACAACGTATCCCGAAATGTTTCCCAATGTTCAAATTAAGATCCTCGTTACCTACCGTGTATTCGAATCAGAGTGAATTTTAAACAAATATTACAAATCCATTCAAGTTAAATTTATAATTCAAAATTATAAATTATAAACTTATCTTCAACAGGCATTTGTCATGTTGAAGTTCCGTTTAGGTAAATTAAGGAGTGATTTTACTAAATAATAATTTTGAATTTTTTTTCCAGTGATAAGCTTATATTTTAGGAATACTTTATTAAATCTCATTTATAAAATTATTGTTATTATTAGTATTATTAATTACGGTAGTTTTAGTTGGTTATATGTATTAAAAAAAACCTTACTCCTAATTCGCGTTCAATAATAGGGCGCCATTTAATATTATTTTCTAAGCTTCCGTGATTAATCCATGATTTAAAAATAATACTGTGTTTTCGATACAAACACAAGGCCCCCTCGTACTCGACTTAACTTGACGTATTCCGGACAGAAAGCTCTATAAATATAATACAACAAAAAGAGCCCTTTACCATTGGTGAAATTTTAATCCCTACTAAGTGGGAATTAAAATATCCACCGGGGAATTGAATAAAAACGGGCAGAGTGAGGAGAATTGACCGAAGAATTAATTCCGTATCGAATACAACTATGTACTAAAAATGTTGTTTGCTATGAATAGGCTGTAAAACTACTGGAGTGATTTAAAATATTCTTTCACCTCCGGGAAGCTACATCATATGCGGTGATCATAGGCTATATTTCATCCCGAAAAAAAGCAAAGAGAAGTATGAAAACGCGAGTGGAAGTTTGTGTAGAGAATGTACGTTATCATAACTCGATTCTTTTCATTAACAAATTAATCCGTTAAGACGACGGTCATTTAATATTTTATTTCATTATTTTATTGACCATTGGTTATTATTAAATTTGTCATTGTTATTATAGCCGTGTCATGATATGAATCGGTATCTAAATAAAAAGTTGAACTGGCAGAAAGAGTTGTATATAATTTTTGCTGCTATTCACGAGTAGGTAATATTCAAAATATTGTTTGTTGATTAGTTATAAAAGTTGCGGGAAACCTATTTATTGTTATTGTTGATATTTTTACTAAAGGTCCTTAGGGATTTTGTAAATGTCGTTACTTGTATTAAAGCTGATATGTTTCTTTGCTCGTTCTTCTCATCAGCCAAAAGGCGTCCTGAGCGAGGTAGGAAAAAATGTTGGATAATTCAAAAGAAATTAAAAAAAATATATATTTTGACTTTAGAAGAGAGGTGAGATAAGATATTTTTTGACTATTTTTCAATGAATTAATTTATAAGTAAAAGTTGTTTTGAACTAAAATAAATATTAATTCGCTAACATAATTTATTTGCTCCATAGAGAATTTAAAAAAAACTACAAAAGATACCAGGTGCACGATTTCGGATAAAGTTTGAGTCTATACTTTTGAGGGTGATTCCCTTTCCGATAGGGTGTATCTGGTGAATGGTGAATTTAAATAAATTTTCGTCGTATTTAGTGTGTGATCCATTTATTAAGAAAGATTATATTTGCAATTTTTTTGTACATTAATTCCCCTTCTATGTAAGAAAAGTCTTCCCTTCTTGTTTGATAATAATTATAAAGTAAGGATCGCAAGGAAAATCCATTAAAAATCGTTTACCTTTACATTCTTGTACGTTTAATTTTGTGTCTTTCGTGATCATTTGATAGAATTACCATGACTCCCTCCTGTGTAAGAATAAATGAGACAATTATAAGTAAAAAAAATGGGTGACGTCACTTATTGAAAATATAAAATCATTTTATTAAATAAAAACGTTTTACTTTATTTTATAGCGTTTTTAATGCATTACAAATTAATTTATTTTCAAACATGTTAATATAGCTAATATTCATTGTTTTTTTTATTCAAGATATCACCTACAAACCAACAAATTCTAAAGTTTATGTGATTATTTTGACATAAATATCTCAGTGCTATAATAAATGTCTAAATAATAAAGAAGAAAATGATGTGAATTTTAAAAGTATACATAATTATATTTTATAAATAATTAAATAACATTTGAAAAAGTTTAACGTTGCAGTAACTTAGTAATTGCCTAATTCAATATATTATACAATTTTATATATCTTAAGAATAAAGCTTTCCCTATTTATTTCACCTTTAGAACCCTGTGTCTTACAATCATAGATCAGTGTAGCTCGTAAACTATGGTCACCCTACTTTCGAAAGTATTCAATGGATCCTATACAACAATAGCGGAGCTAATATGATATAAACTAATATTTGCGACTGTTTATGGGTTCGTGGTTGAAGGGTTATTTTTTATTGTACTCAATTATCATGGGGCTAAACCCCATGAATTGTCAGCTAATTGTAAAGATTGAGGTAGGTTTGATTAAGTAGTGTGCGTTGTCCTTTTTATTTGGTCTTTTAAAATATTGGTCGATAAATCGAAAGAAACTTCAATAAATGTTTCGATTAATAGTCATATAAATATTTTGCAATATATAATTTGTAATGACCAAGAAATTTGGTGTATTATTATGAAAATTAATTGGGACAGACTAATTTAAAAAAAAAATGCTGACACACACATTTAATTTGAAAGGAAGAAATTTTATGCTTTTTTTCCTTTTTATTTGTATAAAAAATATTCGAAGCATGCTTTCTGCCGCCTGGCGAGCTACAGGGGTGTGTGTAGTTTGGGACTCTCTTCCAACACAGTAGGCCTACCTACCAAAATTATTTTTTCTCTATGATTTCATACACGCAGGACTAGAAAAATAAGAATAATTTATCTATATACATATATTAAAGGAGATATCCTGACATACTAACTGATAGACAACGCAAAGCCTAAACCGCTGGTCATAGAGAGTTGAAATTTGGAGAGTATATTCCTTTTATTTCATAGTGGTGTACTAAGAACGGATTTTGGGAAATGCCCATCCCGAGGAGAGTCAAAAAGGGTGAAAACGTTGGTATGAAACTTCTTTGCTTTTGGAACCTATATCGATGTAAATTGGTATTTGGGTTGTTTAAGACCGTAGGAAGGTTATATTTTATTTCGAAAACCAGCTCTTAAAGAGATAAAAACGGGAGTGGAAGTTTTAATGGGGAATCAAAATGTTATTATAACAACAATTGTTTACAATTTGATTTGTCATTGTAATAAATCTGTCTAATATTATTTATAAAGATCTCGTGCTTTAATTTGATATTATTTTAAATATAAAACTTTAAATATTCAAGTACATACAAATCATTTTGATGTCCCTGATACATTCTATATAGTTGTATTTTTTTGTATTGTGGGAAAAATAAAGAAATATTATTATTTTCTGTACAAAAAATAAACTACTTTTTATATATTTTGAGCTACATTAGATGGCTTATATTTTACACCGCACTCTTTTAGTCAAAGTAAAGTTTTAAAAATAAAATGTAGTACACACTTTAAGCTTTGCTATACTAGATGGCGTTTTCAACTAAACTGAGCTTTCGTTTGGTTTAAATTTTTTGCGTAGATTTCAGTTTCCGATTGAGTTTTGTGTAATTTGGTTAATGTTTTTCTTTCCATCTATATTTCAAATTAGATAAATAGCTTTAAAAAAGTTTTCAAAGTGCTGAAATATAATAGACATGAGTCGGTGTACATGTTGTATAGTTAAAAAATAGTTATTTTTTTATAACGCCAATCTTTTCTAATACTTATGAACAAACATTTTCCACATGTCTCCTGAAAAGTAGTACTCCTGGGTGTTGTTTATACGCTATGATGGCTTGAATGGCACGATGTGTTCTAATTAATGTTTTATGACTTTCCTGCTTTGCCTTAACTTAAATGATTGTAGATATTTTGTATTTCCAAATATCTTAACATAATATTAAACAATGTTTTATCCAGTTGGATATAATATATAAATTAACCACAATGTTTTTTCATTAGTACAGACGAATTTTTTTCATTTAAACTCGAAAAAAAACAGCTATTAGTATAAAAATCGTGAATTGTGATCAATGTCAATTGTGGCTTATATTTCAGTCTATTTATATGGGTAAATATCTTATAATATCTTATTATATAATCAAGAAGAATTTAAATTATACATGCAAAAGCAAGTCTGTGTATATATCTGTTACGCTTTCACGCCTAAACTACTGAACCCGGTTAACTTGAGATAGGTTACTTTTTATTGTAATAAAAGTGTTGAAACTTTATATTCAGGTATTTAATATGATAAAGTTAATAAATATTTGTTTTAGTGTTTTTAGAAATGCTCCCCAAAGTAACTATAATACTACGCCGTCGAAGTCGCGGGCAAAATTTAGTTAAAGATAATTATCAAGCAATTTTTTTTACCTTTAAAACAGTGTTGTTCTAGTTTGGTATTTTTTTTTTGCTGAAAAGTATTGTGATTAATTAATACTTTTGGAAATAAACGAGCAACAGGGAGGGATTATTCTGTTATCCCAGTTAGTTCTCGATGCCAGCTAGCTTCGATGTCGCTTCCGCGCCGACTTGACCCATATACAGCGTCCTAGATGCAACAACACACACGGCCACGATATCGCACGATAAGTCTCCAGATAAAACACGCAGCAGGGCCCGCATGAGTCCGCATGACCGGGTTTTGGCCATTTAAGGTGTTACGAGTAATTGAATTTTGACATATTGCAGGCAATACTTTTGCCTTATTACACTATTTTAATGACCGTACATGGTAATTTAATATATTTGCCTATATATTACTTGCAAATCCTTTGAAGTCTCAAAAGGTTAAAAAGGGGGCAGTGATTAAAACCAGATCATCTGCCCTCGTAGTGATGACATAAATTATGAAATTCTGCCCAAGATTTATCAATTCTTCCAAATAACTAAAAAGTTTGCATTTACTGTATGCTTTTTCAAGCAAATATATTTGAAGTTTGAATCGATCTATCATTTCGACACGTGCATGTTGATACAATTAAGTATGTATTTATTTATTAAATTTTTGGAAGACTTACAGCTATACAATGAAAAATCTTATAAAACTATAATAAAGACAAAAAGCCAATTAAAAGTACCCACCATTAGTAACATACTACTCTTAATATGTATTACAACAGCCATTATATTAATCACGCACGCACATACACCTAGTAGCCAGCTATAACAAAATCGGTAGTTAATGATATATAGGTAT